GAATGATTCTGAAATTGCTGGCCAACCTGAAGAAGACGAGGATGAAGAAGATAAAGATTAATAATAATAATATTGATATAAATAAAAACATTTTTCCTTCATTAAAATTAAATTAAAATATAAGATATATATGAAGAAAAAATATATTTGATTTAAAAGAAATATAAGTATAAGGTATTAATTTTTTATTTTAGTAATATTTATTATATAATTAATTAAAAAAACGGTATAATAGATTGGGATTCACGATTTACCTTGCGCTAAAGGTACGCTCCACACTCTGCGCCTTCTATCTCAAAAACGTTTCGACGTATAAAAAAATTTTAAAAACAAAATTTGTAGAGAATTTTATTTTCTACAACTTTTATAATAAATGCAAATGCGATAGGAGGCAGAGAAAACGAGATATTCTTAAAAAACTAATTTTTGCGACCTTTGACCTTGAATATCTAAGGCCGCTCACACGTTGGCATATGTGACTTTTGAGACAACAATTGTAATGCTAAAATAAAGGTTTTCACAAAAATTCAGCTTATTCCGTTAGATTCCGAGGTTGATCCCTTTTTTTGACTAAGATGACTGTACTACTATTGGTATTTTCCAGTAGGAAAATTGCCAATAGAAACAAGTGGTCATTTGTATTAAATTGCGCAGGCGCTGAACATTTAAGTGGTATTTACCAATTGAATTTCAATTGGGAATTTCCTGTACTTGTAACTTCTTATAAAAACCAATTCAGACCATTAGGTAATCTATTGGCATTTTCCAGTACGGAAATTACCAATAGAAACCAATGCTCATTCTGTTGAGAAACCAATAGGCCCAATAAAGACCAATTCATTCCATTCTGATTTTTTATTGGTTTCTATTGGTCTCTATGGGTGATTTTTAACAGGGTACAGTCAACACTTTTTCTCCAACTATCATTTACCTTTTGATCAGCCCAATGATTTAGGGCTAATTTTACCTGTTTACTTGTGATCCCCAAAATTGGTTCAAATCCAATCTAGCCAACCATCAGTCCATTCCCCGAACCCTGTGTAGCAAAAATTAAAATAAAAACATATATATATATATATATATATATATATATATAGCAAATAATTTCGAAGTGGTATGATGATCACTATGATACTATGATCACAACAAATTTTATTTAACTTACCACAAGGTAACTGCTGAGAACAAAATCACCTAGGTGACGGCCACCTTCTTATACCTTTATGTGTTTGGCGACACTGTTGTTACTGTTGTATGTTTCTTGGTTGTCAGACGTTCAAATAATTTCAGAAAGCTCCTCAAAATGGTGGATATTTTATTAAATCTTTAATCAATTAAATAATTAAGTTAATTAGTATATTTGACATAAATTTAGTTAATTATTTTACATTCTTGATTTGATTTGTTTATTAATTAAATTAAAAAGTTAAACAAACTTTATTACGGAAATATTTCTTATTTTGCTTATAACCGGCAACGCTAAACAATCTCGAATTTGGCGCATGCGTATTATTATGAAATAAAAATATAATACATGTATACAAGATATCCAATGTATATCCAGTGGATAAACATTAGAAATACATTAGTTATCCAGTGGATATCGATCAGACATACTTTATTGAAATTGGCTTTATTTCAGTTATATGATATCTTACAGTATTCTCCTTTCTTCTTATTACTTCTTAATGAAATCATATTATTAACTCTTTAAGACGTCAACATGGAGACGTCACATTTATGCGATTACTTTCTTCTCACCGCTGTAACTGTTTGTGTTTGATATAAGAAGCTGCGAAGTAGAATTTAGAGCGTGCTACCCGATACTGACGAGCTCCAAAAGAGCGAAACAGGCCGTCTATCGGTGCCGGTGAAGAGCACGCTTGAATTTAAACAAAAGTGAGACGAAGTAATCGCAATTCCAAAAATAAGCGAATACGATCAAATTGTTAAAATGATTTTAATAAAATCAATTTAACAAATTCGTTTTTTCTATGGTAATTAAACTTGACATTTCAAAATAAGCAACGATCCAGTATGTAATTTTTTCATCAGTACCCTAGTAGTACTTCTATATCCAAAACGGGAAATTCTATAGAAGTCTTTTTATAAGTTTATACAGTAGGACTCTTTAAAATTCTTAATTGCGAAGTCAAAGAAAAGGGTTCCTCAAGAGTTCTTTTTTGAGAAGTCTTGATTAGTTCAATAGGTGGCGCATTCGAAGTCTAAAGAACTTCTTAAAAACTTCTTTCTGATGTTGTTTTTGACGTCCAAATAATAAAATAGAGCTTATGCAGACTTAATTAAGACGTCATATTGCTGTCTGGGTACTTACTAAATATAACATACATTTTTTTTTATAAAAGACCATTTCAAAAATGATTTTTTTTATTGTTTTTAAATACTTTTGATACCCAATGGACATTGTAAAAGGTATGGATATTGGGATATCCATTGGATGTCATGTTCTGTGTGGGTAAACCTCTGAGTTCGTTTACCATTACTTCGATCTACTGCGTTTCTAGACGACTCGCTGCATTTTTTATTCTATTCCCAATTTAATAGAATTAATTCACATATTAGGTTTTGATTCCATTCCCCTCCAGCACCGACTGGTATTTTATGCAACTTAGCCACCCTGAGGGGGACTGTTAGACAATGCAAGACCGCGTATCAGTAAAGATTGCGAATTAAATTTTCCGTTTTTAAGCTCTGATACTTATCTGTTTGCCGGCGCGATGCTTTCTTCTGCACATGTGACACTTAGCACTTTCGCACAGCACTCTCCATTGTAATATCTTTAGGTTTAATACGCACTTTTGTTATTGGACTGTAAGCCTTTGATTATTTTTTTAAATGATTTATGAAAGCGCTCTTGCAAAGGTCTGGGTTCCTTGAGAGTTCGGTCGATACGTACCTACTACTACTATGTATAAAAAATTACGCATAGTAGGTAATAGATCTACATATTAATTGTATGCATTTTTTATTAATCTAATGTACTATTGCGGCCGATAAAAAGTAATCGATTGTTTATCAAGTTGCATGTTTTTCTTAAAAATTGGCTATTGTAAGTAGGGTTTTTTACGTCAGTCATGTCAATTAAATTATTTTGACAAGAAATCATAGGTGTATGACATATTTAATTTTATAATAAAAAAAAACTTAAATTATATAAAGCATGTTTATTCGCAATACAAACAAAAAGAACAAATTATTTATTGGGCGACCAAAATAAATAAATTTAAACTTAAAAATAAATAGTATACTACGACTATAACAATTATAAAAGATGAGCCAACCAGGGTTGGATGGGCTCAGAAAAACCGGCCCTGGCAATTTTTTCATTCAGCCCTCCCTCGGGCATTATCTTACACATTTGTAATGCTATAAAAACTCCATTTAAAAAAAAATAATTAATACTTGGTAGAACCACCATTCTTCTCTATAAAATTTTGTAATCGCCTAGGCATGTAACTAATTAAATTTTGCATATCGTAATTTTCTTTCAAATTGTTCCACTCATTTTGAATTTCATTAACAAGGTCTTTTCTATTTCTTGGTCTAAATTCATATTTATATATTTTTTTACGAGATATCCCCAAATATTTTCGATTGGGTTTAAATCGGGGCTTCTTGACGGCCAAGGAAGCGTTGTAATGTGATTTTCTTCTAGCCAATTATGAACCACATGAGGAGTGTGAACTGGCGAGTTATTCTTAAAATGAAAAAAAAATATTTTTTTGATCAGGAAAGATAAATCATAAAGTGTTACGTGTTGAAACACAAAATCATTATCAAATCTTTCTTGCACTGACGGGAGCATTACATCGTTTAAAATTTCCACGTATCGGTTCCCAGGTAATCGGCCTTCTACAATATGAATTATATATAATTCTGGTATACCAGCCCCTGAAGATGATATCCACGCCCACACGTGGACAGAAAATCTTCCGCTGTTGTCAGTTTTGTGGAGGTATTCATCAAACTTATGGTTTCTGGGACGATAAACTCGCAGTTGCCCATTGTAGCAGGATTGAAATATTTTTTCATCTGAAAAGACTACTCGCTCCCAATAATTAGCTTTTTGATTTAAAAAATTATTTGCAAACTCCACTCTTGCCTCTTTATTAACATCCGTCAAGCGAGGCTTTTTAGCACTCACGCAGTTAAATAAACCTTGTTCTCGCAACCGTTTTCTTGCCGTCCTAACAGATGCTGGGAAGTTGGTTTCCTCTTTGGCTTGAATAGAGTTAGAAAATGGGTTTTGCCTCACATATTCAACCAACTCGTTGTCGTTTACTGGAGTTGTCTTTCTTGGACACCCAGAACCCATTACCCTACTCAGGTCACCAGTTTCCACCCACTTTTTGTTTAATTTTTGAATAGCGCTTTTGCTGCAATTTATTTCATCTGCTATTTGTTGTTGAGACCATCCTTCTCCAATTTTGTCGATAATATAGCATTTATCTGCTTTACTTAAAGTATGGTAAGGCATTAAATAATAACTTTACTTAATTTAAGATGACGTTACTTAATTTTATAAAATTATTTTTGAAATTCCACTGGTGACAACCATATATATTTACAACGGGAAAATTAGTCGATTACTTTTTATCGGCCGCAATAGTACATAATATTATTAAAGATTGTTCGCCACTAGTCCAACTTTTTTTTTCAAAAATTTGCAAATTAAAACATGGTGTTCTTTAAACAATATTTTTTATTATATCATATAATATCACATCTAATAACAAATATTTGTAACTATATTTTATAAAATCTTTAAAATCTATCACAAAATCAATATTTTCATAGTAAAATTTAATTTAATAAAAAAATGCCGAAAATTATCAGTCTATAATTTATATATGAAAGCTGCAAAAAATAAAAAAGCTGCAGAACAAGATAAAATTCTCACTTTTTTATAAGGGAAGACAAAAATACATTAAAAAATAATTTTAAATATCATGTAAAAGTGCAAAAATCTAGTAAACTTTCTACAAGTTTAGTGTGCATAACAATTGCTGTCCAGTCGTGGTAATTAACTTGTTGATTTGGTTAGCGTGCATTGTTTCCTTACAAATAATAACATAGGGTTCATAATTTTGAATTTCGTTAAGAATGTCGAGATCATCGACGAAATTATCTTCGTTTTGGTGCGATTTGTTGTTGTCATTGTCGTTTTCAAGGTTTGTGTTGCTGAATCTTTGCGGGAATACCTCGATTAATTGGTCCAAAGTCATCGAAGATGCCACGTATGTCAGAATATCTACAATTTGTTTTATTTGGGTAGCAAATCAAATTTCCTGAAGTTTAAGTGGTAAAACGCTACTTATGTTAAAAAACAAACGATCTTTTAACGAAAAACATTTTTGTGGTTTCTGTAGTATCTTGTTTGTTTTTAGAGTAAAATATGTTGGTACTCAAACAAACGGGAATTTAATTTTTTATGCAGTAAAAATGTTTTAACGGTTTAGGATTTTTTAGTGAAAAACACAATTTTGTATTTTATTTTATCGTTAAATAGAAAATTAGATTTCATGCAGTTTAAATGGTGACACGGCCTACTTTTATCTAAAAATACCCGAAATTTTAATCAAAAAAACTTTTTCCACGGCTTGCTTAGTTAAGTATTTTTCATGAATATTTCGTTTGTTTTTAGAATTGAATATGGCGAGTAACTAACGGAAATTTTATTTTCTATGCAGTAAATAATATTGTTTAGTTTACCTTTTAGGATTTTTTTGTGGAAAAAGCACACTCGTTTTAGTGTTTCGTTTTGGGATAGTTTAAGTATACGTCTTTGTATGGTGGCTATTAGGAATTTCCATTCGTCTTTTTTGGTAAAACGATCCTAAAAAATGTTAAATTTAACAAAAATATACAAAATTTATAAAAAAGTACCTTTCCAAACTGTAAACAGCACTGTGGGCATGCGTCTATCAAAAGTACTACAGCTTCATTTGTGCCTAAAATAATGCTTTTTAAGCTGAAGCTCCCCCTAATATTTTCATTGACTCTTAAAAAATTTGCTACCTCCATTAAAATAGGTTTAGGTACAGTTTGAGAACAAAGCAATGCCTGTAATCGTTTTAAAACGACATCAGCTTCACTATTTGGTGTAAAATCCTTGCTTTTGTAATTTTCAAGGCATGTTTCATATATTTTTGATGTTATTTCGACTTGAAAAGGCGGCATTTTATCTAAATATTCAAAACGTAAACTTGAGAACAAATATGTATCTTTTTGTTTTTTATTTTTTAATTCTTGCTGAAATTGTATTTTGTTTATATGGTTGTAACTAAATGTGTCTTGAATATCACTTTCTTCCTCTGTATTTATCTCATTTGAATCATTTTTACATAATTTAGAATCGAATTTAATACATTTGTCCTCTTTTAACTGCAAAATCTGTAATTGTGATAAATATGACCGTACTAAAAGTTTCATTGCTTCACCAGAACCTCTTTCATATGTAATTTTACTCAAATCTGCATTTTCTGATCGAGAAAAATAATTTTCAAAGTATTGCTCCAATGTTTTTTGTAACACAAAACTAGCAGTGTTTCCGTCACTGCCAATACTACTGGGTAAATACTCCAAAAATACCTAAAACACAAGTATTAAATTAAAATTACATATAGTTCAAAAATATCAATGAAAATAAAATTTCCTGCCATTTGATACCCCACATTACATCACAAACTTTACAGATACCTAAACACGGGTGGCTTTAGCTCACTTTCAAACTTAAGCTTAAAATTTTTGTGGTTTTAAAAATCATAAACATTAAATTTTGTATACCAAAATTTGAGTCTTGAGTTGCTCTTTCATAATAACTATGTTATAGTATTACATAGGGCTGAGTTTCAAAAATAAAAATTAAAAACTGGGTGTGCAAAGTTACCCCCTGGTTGCGGGTTACTTTGTCTCACAGTGTATTTTCCGTATAAAATGAATTCAATATTATATTTTATTTTTATTAGACACGTGTTAGCAGCGACATATATCTATTGCAAGGGATTACCGATAAAAAAAATAAAAAATCGACCTGTAGTTAACCAAGGATCATCATTCCAATGGATTGCGCATAATATAGAAATTGTAACGCGTGTATTTCTAAGAGTTTTGCACTGATGCGATATATACAATTTTAAAGTGTAATAAATCCCATTTCTTTCTTTAAAACACTGATTTTCCTGTAATATAAACTCAATAGAATCGCTCAATTGACAGGTTTAGACCAACAAATTATAAATGTTAATTTTATCGAGCGCGAAAAGATTTTTCATAAATGGGTTAAAGTCACCCGCGGGGTGCAAAGTCACCCGTGTTTATGGTACCAAAAAACAATAGAATTAAGAAAGAAAACAAAATCTTAAATTCAAATGCCAACTTCGTTATTTTTAAATGTCATGTTTGTACCTCCTCGTTTAAAAGGAAATATTTTGACTACAATCTTACCTTAATTATTTTATTGAGGTTTACCACTTTTTTAACAACAATCAAATTCACTATGACTGATGATATTAGATCGGAATTATGTGGTATTAATATGACGGATAATTCGGAGAATGTTGTCATATTTTTTGATTTATTTTGCAGATTTTGTGTGGTCTCAAAAAGTAGCTCCCAATTTTCCATTAATAATTCAAAAAGTGTGCTGTTGGAGATTTTTAATAAACACTCTAAAGCTTTGGTGTTGTTACATTTTTGTATGTAAAGTATTGTTAATGCTAGGTTTTTTTCCACCACATTTGAATCGCTAAAAAATATATCATAAAGTTTGTCCGTGCACAGGCGTTGGAAGTTATACTTCTTTGGCGTAACTAAAAAAATTGTTCCGCATGCAAATAATTTGTCCAAGTTGGTCGATAACATGTTCGAAGAAAGATATTAAATAATGGTTTTATTAAAAATTTTTGAAAAGTTCAAAAATGTTCCCTGTTATTTCTTAAATTTCGCACTATGCAAATTTATGCTACCATTTTTAAATGCATGCTAAGGTGCGAATTTTACTTTTTTTTAATGTATCCAACTGTAAGAATTTTTTATCATTTTATAAAGGACCCTGCACTAATCCTATGGGAAATGGCTCTCAGTGGATTGGGTTAAATTTCGTGTATATTGTAGAACACTCAAAAGTTGTCACATTCTCAAAAAATGTTTAGTTTCAGAGCTGGAAGACTTTTATACTGTAATTTTAACTTATATTCAGTCCCAAAATTACCGTACAAAATCTAGATTTTCGGATTCGCAAATTTGCAGGAGGTATTTTTTTGTTTGCAACGTGGATATTCTATCATTGGAAAAAGTAAACAAAAATAAATTCGGTACGTGTTGTCGCAAGCGCCGAGGCAAAAGGCGGGGCTTGGGCTTGCCCTATAGAGCAGAAACACTGCGCTCTCATTGGCGGCCTTAAAAATTAAATAACTCCTGCAATTTTGCGAACTGGAAAAAATGGTAAATGAAAACTCCTCTTGAAATTTTAAAAGGAATAATCCTTAACCATTTGGGGCTCCAATTTTGGGACTTCATCATTGGCGGCCGTAAAAATGCAGTTTTGTGAATTCAAAAAATGGGAAAGAAAATTTAATCTTGGATTTTCGCAAGGAATTAAGATCTTTCGTTTGGTCCTTTGATTTTGGGGCACCCTGTACACGTTAAAGATTATGAAAAATTTAAGTATAAAGAATTTACAAATTTTTATAAATAAGAGTCATAGAAGTTGTCATCCCTTGGAGCAAGTTTTTCTTTTATCACTTTTGCATTAGTGCTACTATTTAAAAAAAAAAATCATGAAATTTAAAGTAATTTTTAGGCATTTGTTTAGCAGCCACTGGATTTGATTAAACCACAACCTACCTAACGAGTAAGCGGTTGGGTTCGACGGTCAAAGTAGAGTCGGCTAGTTGTTTAACTGTGGTTCTTATCGAATGCTGTCGATGATTTGAACGGGAAGACTATACTTCGATCGTCGACAGATCTAAACCAGTGACTGCCAAACAAATGCTTACGTTAATTTTCATATTTTTTTAAAGCAGTAGCACCAATGCAAACGTGATAGTAAAAAACTTTGTCATCCCCCAAGGGACAACTTATTACATTACACCCTGTACTTACAACTTAAAAGACTGACCATTTTTGAAAAATGTGCTACTTAATGGTAAATTTTGAACAGTAGGTCATGTTTTACAATATGCCAAAAAAAGTATAAATTCAAAAATGTAATTTGTCATTAAATGTTACCTACTCTTTTATTTTTTCAGTCAAAATATTTATCAACTTATCAGTAGAGTATTCCCTTATTATTTTACTCTTTAATATCAAATTTGGTAAATATTCATAGCCATGGACTTCAAGTAAATTCAAAATAGCTTCAGAAAAATTTTGTTTGCTTCCAGAGCCAAAACATTTGTCCACATCTACACCACTTTTTATATCAAGCAGTATTGTTCTCAAATAGTGCATTAAACCTTTTGTTATAGTATTGTTGGATTGTTCTTGTACCTTTTTAACTCTTTTTAAAACTTCTGAAGGTAGTATTCTCGCCATTTTGTAATAAGGGATGGCCAAAGAGTAGTGTTCTTCAGTGGAACACCTTAAAAATTGTTATAATTACAAATTGGGGGATTGCATATTTTTTAAAGATGTCCTTACATAACAAAATGGTCTCCTAATAATGCACAGGACGTTCTATACGTTTCTATGACATCATCTATATTAGTTTTAGCTGTTAAAATTAATTTGACAGTATCCTCTGTGACAGTCCATTTTTTTAACAACAGACTGATGCGCAGTACCATATGCGCCTCACTCATCAAATGACAGTAAGTCTGCGCAGAGGTAAAACGGTGTACATTGGCAACAATGGATATGTCATTGAAGACTGTTTTTGGGGTGGGGAGTTCAAGGTTATATAGTGTCCAAAAATTAGCGTTTGAACTGCTATTAGAGCTACAAGAGTGCGTAGGGGAACTATCTGAATTGGCTAATAATAGTAAATTATTTTCCGACAACAAAATTTGTTCCACACCCAAAAACGGTCTTAGTCCAACCAGACAAATGGAATGACTTATAGGTGGGCAAGCCTGTAAAAAAACAAAATCAACCCACATAAAAAACTTTTTTTTCATACTTACAACATTCACATTGTCTATAACCTCAAAATTACGGCACAATTGATGACCGAAACGTAACGTGTAACTTTCCAAACCCGTCTCGGTTAAAGCATGCAAAAAATAATCCTCCATTACAATCTTGTAAACCGGCGCGGTAAACGGGTAGATTGCGATGCAATTATCTTTGTCTAGTGAAGAATCTAAAATTTTATTTTAGATTTAAGTGAAGAAGAAGAAATCTTCAAAATAAATGGTTACGCGATATAGTTGTAAAAACAAATGAGCCATGCGCAAAAAAACACTTATTACACAGGTGACTTGATGAATTGATTTTTTGTTGTTTTTGGGTTAAATATATTTCATATATGAAATGTTCAAAAAAATAAATAAAAAACTCCTATCAAGAACTAGAACTCCCAGTTACAAAATTAAATTCTCTACCATTTGATAACATGCAATATTTAACCAAAAACAACAGCCAAAAACAAAATTCAAGGCCAAACACCAACTTTGTTGTTTTTAAAGATAGATATGCCGTGTTTGTACTAATTTAAACGAAAATTTAATTATCTCTTCATATAACATACCTAAATCATCGAAATGGTACATATAACCTTCTTGTTGTGTAGCTATCATACAAACAACGCTATTAAGACACTTTCTGTAGTCGCTCTTGAAAAAATTGGCGTCGTTTTCGTGGCTTTTGTATTTGTTTAAATTTTCGTCGATGTATACTGGTTTTAGTATTACTGATTTAAATTCTTCGGCGACTGATTTTTGCCCACTTTCTATCATTATGGGTATTAATTTTAGTTGTATTAAGTTTTGTATGGTGTATTGTTGATTTTTGTTGTCCAAAGGTGAGTTTGGCTTTATTGATGCGGTTATTTCTTTGTCGGAAAAAGTGAATGGGTTGTTTTTGTGTATTAGGCTGTTATCTTTTAGTATACTGGGTAGATTTACTGTGATTTTTTCTTTTATGTTTTGTATAAGTTCATCTTTGACAAGTTTTTTGTAGTCTATGGGACCATCTTGACAATCTAAAATTTAGATTCTAAATAGATATTATAATATTACACATGTAGGGGTAAGAAGCAAATGCAAAAAAGAGAAGTGGAGTTATTAACTTTTAAATTTTTTGCTATTCAAAATTTGGACTCCAAACTACCAACTTAACTTATTTTCATGCTAAAATAAACTTGTACCCTTTTGCTTCCTACCCCTTCACATATTATGTACAAATATAAATATAATTTTTTATACTTACATTTAATAAAATCATTTTCATGAATATTTTGTTCATTATTTGCATCTTTTTGAGTTGAATTAAATATTCTGCACAAATAGAAAGTGTCTTTGGACATACAAGATATATAATTTTCGCAGAAATTGACCACCAGGGGAATGAAACTAAGTTGTATTAAAATTGGGGCCTCCTCAAAATCTATGAATCTTAATTTTGAAATATCATGAGTTCTGACTTTAAAATTATACAAATTTATGATTTTTTCCGATAATATAATCAAATTTCCAGACACCTGACAACAATCTATAGAGTTTGGATTTCTCTTGACTGGAATCTCAACCATTTCCAAACTACCAAGTTCACTCTGATTGGTTGTTGGGGTTACTCTCCCAGCAATCCTTGCTCTCATTGGTTGTACCATTCCACATTCTGATGACCCCAAGCTGACTCCACTTGAAGTCATTTTGGACTGTTGAAGAGTGGCAACAGTGTCCCAATTAATATAAACTCTCACAAAATTCGTTTCACGATTTTGACGGTTAAACTTTGTTTCCAGTGTTGCAACATAGTCACCATTCAAACAATGCACAATTTGAAGTACTTCATCTACAGTGGGGAACGTGAAAAGAACTTCGGATTCATTTTTTATATCGCGAACTTCAATACAGTTACTTGTAAGTGCCAGTAGAAATCGGTTAGGAGGCGCCACTGTACAGGCAGTAGGCTGTTCGACTGTTTCTACATTTTGACTTGCAAAATGATGCACCGATATAACTCGCACCATATCTAAAAAATATATTTTTTGAAAATTTTGTTTTGGTAATATTGTATAGATGATCAAAAATTCATTTCATATATAACAAGCCATATTTCCATGAAAACCAATTAAATATTCAAAGATTTTAGTTAAGATTTGTAGTAGGCCATGAATAAACATGTTTTGCTATAATTTGTTTCTTATGTACTACTCAAATAAAATGATTTTTAATTTCCTATACAATCAAGCCAATATATGCAGTATGTTTAATATAATAACACCAATTCATTTTTTAGTACCACCACCTAGCATTTTACATGGTTTATTTATTTTGACTTACCCATGTTGATAAACAATAAAAAATAACTAAAAACAAAATAAATTATAATTTAAATCAACATAGTCACCATTCAAACAATGCACAATTTGAAGTACTTGAAGGCTTTGTTATCTATGATTTAAATATGCTATTCAGCATTTTGCAGCAAATATATTAAGTTATGGAGTAAATTTAGGGTGTGCCATGTTCACATAGGTGAAACATAACATTATTTATAGTCATGACATAAAACAGGGTGCATTTATATTATTTAAAGTCAAAATATCGATCTTAAATTTAACCTATTTTTACAAAAACAGAAACAAATATGAAAATTATACTTACTTCTTTTAAATTATGTACAGCGTTGGTAAAACAAGTTTTTCCAATTAAAAACAATTGTTTTTAATTGTTTTTGTTGACAAATATGCCTTTAAATTATTAACATAGTTTTCGCACATTTTTGACGTTTGCAACTAGCGACATCTAGGTGGTATACAGTGAAGTTTGTTTTATCGCCATCTATGAACAAATATTGATATGAAATAAATTATCTTAGTTTATCTACTTGTCGTAAGATGTCCTTAAATTGAATATAATTCATATACTGTGGTAAGTATATGATATAATTGAAATTTGTTTTTTTAAATATTTGTAAATAAAATAACGACTTTATAGTAGTTATATAGTACAGTCAAACAATATACATTTTGTATACAGTTTGATGATGAAAAAATTACGAGGGTTCATTTGAGGGCGAAAAATGGGGGGGGGTAAATTTTGAAAAATTAATTTTAATTTAAGTTCCCGCTTGAAAAAAATTATACAATTTTCTTTCAAATGACAAAATTTTAACAAAAAGCCGCGTTGATGAAGAATAGATTAATACAATTTTCAAAAAAATTGTATGGGTTTGATTAGATACTTCATCAACGCGGCTATTTGGGGGCTACAACTTTGTTATTAGAAAGAAAATTGACCACCCCCAATCATCCCCCAACAAAAAAGCCCCGGGAAAGTTTTGTTTGAAAACTTTAGTACCTGCACCAGCTACATAATCAGCTGATATGCAGATTTTTCTATTCGTAATTTTTTCATTACCTATTCGATACACATTTTGAATGTATACATTAGGTAAGTACTTACCAACTATTAGAAAACAGTTTAAAATTAGGTTTTTTTCTCATTTTTCTAGTTTTTATTTAGTACCCATATTGTGAAATAATATAAAATGTATTTAATAGATTCTTAACCCAACCTCTTAAGAGCGTCTGCTGGCCTAATTTTTTTAAATTGGCAAATAAAAAACTGCAGTTTATTATGCAATTGCATTTTTTATTGCATTAAGGAGGTTTGGACAGTACATTGCGGGGAAAGGTAAGGAAAGTTGCTTTATAGTTAATACACAAATAGCAACTTGCAAAAACAAAATTTACTTTATCAATTTATTACATTTAAGAAAACAGCCAATTTTTTAACTGATTTTATAATTAATTTTTATTTTAATGCAAAAGGCACTATATTCACATAAAGTATATGTTAACATAGGAACGTGAATTGAAAAACGTAAAAAATAGGATTTAAACGCGACAACATTGCGAGTTGTTTATAGTTGGTTTCTATGGTAAAGCTTTTCGCTTTTGACAGTAGCAGTGACATTTCTTTTTGCAGTGTTATTTAAAATCTTAAAATAAGTTGTGAAAACGAAGTATTATGTTCTGTGAAACGAAACGAAAGTCCACTACAAATAAAAAAATATTAAAAACAGTATGGAAACCAAAAATAAAGCATCAGAAAACATGCAGTCTGTTGAATGTATAGCGAAAGTCTCGAGAAGTGCAGAAAACAAAGATAAGAAAACCATAAAAGGTTGTCTAATTGTAAATTGAAAAAACTTATAATAAATAAATAAATAAACAATATTGTATAGACAATTGTGTTTTTTTTTTAATAATTTACTTTAAAAACGAAATTATGGTAGTCACTCTAGAGTCTAGACGAAAATGACAGATTGATTTTTGGTTGGACACAGTCAACATTATCGTTTATTATTGCGAAACTGTGCAGTGCATGAAAGTTAACAAAATTTTATATGGCACTTCTACAGGCAAACATGCATACTAAAAAACTTTTTTAACTTCTCAATGTCAGATATGCATTAATTAAAGACCTCGGCTGTATAGGAGATGTATTTAATTAAAGCATATCTTATAACATGACTATAAGAAAACGATGATTTTTTTTATCGTATTCACTTGTGCCCGTGCATTGGCATATACATTTTTGTGGACATTTACAAGACAGTGTAGCAATATGAGGTGCGTTCTGATCTGAGATTTTTCCTCCCCCCTCACCGATACTATACATGCTGTGCGGGGGAATCAGTTTGAATTAAGTCGGAAATAAAATGGAGGGGATAAATAAATTATTGATTTGTTAAGTTTTTAAATAACATAACCTAATCTAATTTAGGTGATTTTTTGCAATAAAACTTACATTTACCTACATAATTAAATTAAATTTTGTAAATTAGCTATAAGTAAACTTGATATAATTAATAGAATTCGAATAAAATTGCTTTTAAGAACGGGAAAAACACTTTTTACAATATAATTGAAGAAAGAAAGTAAAAGTGAAGATTATTTTAATTCTTATTTTATGTCATAAAATTATTATATTTTACAAAAAAATTATTTTTTGCAATAAAACTTAAATTTTCATAAAAATAATTATATTTTGTACATTGACTATTATAATAAACTTAATATAATAAATAAAATTCGAATAAAATTGTTTTAACACCGCTTTCGGTGCTTTAATGAAATACTTTATCCCACCCAAAATTTTGATTTTATAGGTTGGTCACAACCCACACAACAAGGTCTGTTAGATCTCGTACTAAAAATACTAAAAATCTCTGCAACACTGCACATCATTTAATGGCGGCCATTTTTGTTGTTTACAATTCTTGTGCTTTGGGTTTGTACAGATTAATAATAGTTTTAAACTTTGTGTTTCTTACAGAGAGACTTGCAAGCCTTAAAAGAGACCTCAAAGTGGTAAGAACAATCATTTTACTCCTCTTTTGTAAATAATAACCCTTATTCTATCAGGGCTGTCAAATGTCAATTTGAAGGTTAATTTGTGGGTTATAAACTCGTCCATTACAAAACTCGCTCCTTCGTCGCTCGTTTTATAAATTGTCCTCGTGCGACAAAATGACGTCTTATGACATTAGTTCTTTGACTAGAAAATAGTATATTACACTACAAGGGCAGAAAGTGTGAGATTCCTGCACTGCGCGCAGTTCAGGGTTCTTACACTTTCTGCCCGTGTAGTGTATACTATTTATCTTACTACCTCGGCCGAAAATACAACCCGGCCGAAAATACGGGAAAAAATTAAATGTGTATATCGAAACATCATTGAGTAAACACCTTACTCAATGGAAACATATTGATGCCTGCCCAAATTTTGAGGTTATATTAATGTCGTAATCGGAGTTGCATATGTTCAACACACGACTAAAAAATATATACTCCCGCTATTATACTATGTATACTAATAATTATAGAGTGTGCGCGTATAGCTTGACCAATGCAAGAAACGTAAACTTTCTGCCGTGAAATCAGTCGAGGTAGTAATAAAATTAAACAAAATATGTCAAAGTGAAGTTTTTTTTTTAAATTTTATTTTGTCATAAAATTAATGTTCTTATCAAAAAACTGCTGTGTTTTTGTTTGTCACCCAATTATGGAAAGAATAAGTATTATAGATCGGGAAACGTCTTCATCGTCTTCATCAAATAAAACTTTTATTATTAGGTATTTTTCTATTATCCATAATTCAACGCAAATTTAAACATAGAAAACTACCAAGGCTTTGTTATCTATGGAAAACTACAAAATTTAAGGATATGACACAGAACATAATGAAATCAGAGATAGGTTATGTTGCCTATTATTCACGTATGCGCCGTCAGATTGTGCTTTTCAATTGAGTGTGTCGTTCTTTTAATGCTTACTCACATCACTACATCTCATGATATGCATATCACCAAAGAGCGCACCTAATAGCAACTTTAATAATTTTTTACTCCGAAACCAGTCAAATCTTTTTATTCTTTTCCTGCTTTTTATGTAGACTCCACTACAACGTAGAATTATTTGACAAAAACTTTAAAATTTAGAGCAATGTTGTCATATGTAACATATTTACGCTCTTTAGGGAAATTTGACATGCAACCAATTATAATTAAATACATATTGACTCAAAACTATTTAATAATTCCCATTATATATTTAATTTAAAGTTAGGTAGGTATATGTTTAGTTTTAAGGATAATTTGTAATTTTAAATTTTAATATAACATAATTTAAATTAATGATAATTATATACGAGGTGTGTTCAGAAAATATCGGGAATTTTGTTTTTTTTTGAAAAAGATATTTATTTATTCGTCTACATTAATGTTGTCGCCTTCAAAATAGTCCCCATTGGATATTATGCACATGTGCCAGCTCTTCTTCCAATACTCGAAACACTTCTAAAACTTGATCTTTGGGATAGCCTTTAGTTCTTTCAGCGATGCGCTTTTAATGTCATCTATGCTTGCAAAACGACGGCCCTTTAAGGTTCTCTTTATTTTTGGGAATAGGAAAAAGTCAGACAGATGCATGTCTGGCGAATATGGAGGCTGGACATCATTACAGT